AACCCTTTACATTAAATTATATCCAAATTCAGTAATTTCGAAAGAGCGAGTGTTGGAAAATTAGAAAATAATATATTTACAAAAATAGAACTTTTATTTATATAGAAAATATATATATGTATTGTCACGATTTAATTAAGTAAATTGTGACCATAATATAATTATTATGATTAGTATCAGAGCTACAAGAATATTGTAAGACTAAAGGTGGGCAAAAGCTTAGGAGTATAGAACTGTCCAAATGTTTATCTATCTGTTATATTTATTTATTTAATTGTATACGGCTTAAAAGATTAGATATAGAATAAAGTTTAGAAGAAGGGATTAGACCTAAACAAAGCTTAGACTAATTGTCCGAAAATGGTAAAAGGATGGGTTAAAGATATCTTAAGTTAGAAATAAGTTCATGTCTAAACCAAAGGATTAGAGGTGGACCAAAATATATAAAAGCTTTGTCTCTATCACTAGTAAATTTTAAAAAAATTTGATGTGTTGAATAGCATTATTCAACTGCTATTAGACTTGCATTCAATAATTCAAATGTCAAGTTATTCAACTTATATTCAATATATTAAATAATATGTCATATGGCTTCTGTGGCTTCACAGATATCGACGTTCATGCAGCCACAGAAGCCACATGACATATTATTTGATATATTGAATATAAGTTGAATAACTTATTATTCAACATATTGAATATAAGTCTAATGGCAGTTGAATAATATCATTCAAATTTTTTAAAATTTACTAGTATATGTATATTGAAGTATAAAAGAATATAAATGCAATTTAAACATAGATACTAGAACTTTATATATGGGAGGCCTTGCCATTCAGTTTTAGCTAACTAATAATTAAAAAATCTAGTGAAGCAGCAAAACATTGTTTTATTTGATTAATATTTAAACTTGATTAAAAAAATGCTCTTCTTGTAATAAAATAGAATACAAATATCTAAAGCTAGTTTTGAAAATAACCAATACAATAACTTTCAGCATCAATTCAATCTCAGTTTTATATTTATTATATTTTGTTTTGCTTCACCCAGCATTGTTTTAAAATTTAAACATATTGATTGTACTATATATAAATTCAGATTTTAATCAAGATTTATAGTTATATGGATAATAACTTATATAAATTTAGAAACAATCATATGATAAAAATATAATTTTAAATTTTGGATATGATCATTAATTATTAATTCATTATATTGGTAAGAAATTCAATAAAAAGAAAACAAAAAATAAAAAATAACTCTTAAAGTAATATAAAATTATAGTGCAATAAGGTTATAAAAAGTAATGAAATAATAAATTCTAGCATAAGTTAAGTATATTTTTGATTTTGTTAAATTTTTTTTAACTTTTTACTCTCATATATTTGTTTTTCATATAGAAGTACATGTACATACAAGTACTTGTTACATGTATCTAGTATTAAAAATTGCCTAATACAAAATTTTTTTTTCTAGGTAATACAAGAAAATTTGTTTGGCAATCATATACACAAAGATAATATGAACTAATATAAAAGTCAAGCTATCAACCATACTTAGTAAATATAATTTACACTACATTATCAAATACAAAAAGATCATTACATCATATGAACATATATGGACTGATCAAAATTAAAATTAACAAATTCTTTCATTTTTATTTTTGATAACCAGTAATTTTTTATTTAAGCAAAGATATTTATAGTTACAGTAATATATATTGTTATCTATATACAAAAACAAAAAAAATTTTAAATTTTTATATAATGTATATATATATTTATACAAAGTAATACAAATAAGAAAAAAAATCTATTGTAAGCAGGATATGCTATTTATTATATATGTAGAAGAAGACAGAAATATTGATAAAATTTTAAATTATGATTAATAGATTGGAGCTTTCAAATTATCTACGAATAAAGTAACCAGATCCTATTTAGCTAAACTATCATTTGCAAGATAAATATTTTTTTTAGCTAAATCAAAATCCTCTTCAAATTTGTTATCTAAAAAGATTTGGTCATCTTTATCATCTACTTGATTTTCATATTGGGTTGCATCAATCTATTGATTCACAATAGTAACCTACTGATTTTCTTCATCAACTATAAATTCATCAATATCACTTTCTAAAAATTATATATTTTCATCTTCCTCAAAATCATCATTTTTATTTTGATTTCCTTTATTTTCATCAGAATTATCATTGTATGAAATAGGCATTACAATGCATAACCATTGATTATTTGTTTTTTAATTATTATGATTATATAAAATATTACTGCATATTTGGCTCATCGACAAAACTTTGTCAGACTAATAAATAGTTAGCCTAGGTTATTAGTTACAGTCAGACCTCTTTAAGTCCATACTCTTGGGACAACACTTTAATAACGTGCATATAGAGAATAATAAGAAAGGGTGTATTTATAGAGGTTATGTATATATTTGGGCTAGCAATTAAGCGTGTATTTAAAGAAGATGTGCACTTGTAGAGGGTGCACTTAGAGAGGTCTGACTGTATTATAATATATAGTAATAACAATATAATAAAATAAATAAATTTATACTGATAATCTATTTTATTTAGCTGTATGCAAAAAACCTATAGAAGATCAAAGTCTTTCAACAGATGCAGAATTAATATATATTTCATGAATATGCATAGCTAATTTAGCTAATTCAGACCCAACGTCTATTGTAGATTCCCAAAAATCAAGTAAATTTCCATAAAATTGTTGAAATGATGATTGTTATAAGGATCTATTTCCTGTTTATATTTAATCATTTCACTAAGAATTGATTGTGATAGTAAATTAAAAAATGCTTGAAAATAATATTTTAACTACTGCCCAATATGTGTCCAAGTAAGATTATTAATCGAATTTTGTAAGTTTATATACTGGATGAAGAACAATAGATAATAATAATAATGGTTGCTCCCAATGTTTCTATCGATCTTCTATTCGATTAATCATTTTGGTTGCAAACTCATTATCTGAGTAGTTTGAAAAAATTTTTATTGTATAAGCAAAACAAAATATAACTTCACACAATCTTGCAGTATTCTTTTGCAATTTATTAAGAAATTCACATAAAAGATAGAGCAAGTTTTGCAATAAGAATAAAATTCTCCAAAATTCTGAGTCATTAATTATATCTGCTATGTCATCAGGTAATTTTTGTCTACTGTTATTATATTTTAAACTTTTACTTGCTAGTATAGTTGGAATACTATTAACTCATAATATATTTGATTGATGTTTATTATATTTTGCTAAAAGAAACTACATAAATTATTAAATAATATTAGTTAATTAATCTGTCAAGAAAATAATTATTAGGAAGTTGATAAGTCAATCTTTTCAAAATACAAAAATTTGTACTTAGAAAATATTGCATTTAGAAAATTACTCTAAAAGATAACATAATTTAATATATATATAACAAAATTTATTAGCTATGTAATAAAAATATTGTACTTATATGTAGCAGAAATTTGTATTTAAAGAAGTTTGCACTTAGAAAAAATTAACTATATATATCTATAAATAGTAAGTTAAAAATAAAATTAAAAAAAAACTTACTTTCAAAGCAGCTTGAGTTTTTTTTTTTTTTTTTTTTGGTTTTTAGGTGACCTCTTGGGCGATTCTCTTTTTTTTAGTTTCTAGTGACGTTTTTCTCTTCGCTAAGACCCCTT